ATCAGATGGTTGTGGTAGCTTCGATTGGATCCAACGAACCTCCTGATGAAGTCTTGTGCCCTGGTGAATTGTCTAGATATGATTTTGATCAAGGTGGATTTCAGGTGTTGGTCTAGAGCTGTCCTAGATGCTATTTCAGAGAGGGCTTTGATAGAGAACCAACTCCTCTTGCTCTAGGGATGGTGTGTGCACAATTAATTTTTGAGTTTGGTGGACTGTTGAGCGATGTCCTGGTCTGAGCTGAAAGTTTGAGCTCAAAATCAATCTCTCACAGTGGGAATCAGAGAGGGAAGATGATTGGATTAAGCTTAAGGATGCTTGGAGAGTCTCTGGTGAGATTTTGGCAGAGTTTCCCAAAGAATTTGGAACTCTCCTCTCTTTGGCCATGGAGGGGCTGATTAAATATAAGAGCTTGGGCTGACCACCAGGGCTAATTGATGGGTGCAAAATGGTGCTTAGGTGGAGGGCTGAGGAGCTCTAAGGAGCCATTAGGATGAGTTGGCTTCTATGGTTGAAATTGTGTTTGATTTAAGGGTGGTGGCTCTCAGTTTTAGAGTTTTCCGACCACTAGGCTGGCCGACAGGGCCAAAGGTGGTGGCCAGGTGGTCAGGTGATCCAGGAAGCGGGTTAATTATGGTTAACCCTCAATGGCAAGTGATGATGGAGGAGATATTTTTGGTTAAGGCCCAAAAATGGGATAAGATCCCTTAAATTAGGGGACCCTTGGTCCATAGCTCACCAAGCTGGTTTAAGGTGGTTTTGCCTGGTCAATAGAGTGTGTTTAGTGGCTGTAGAGACCTTAATTTGGTGACTTTAGTATGACTAAGTCAATTTTGGTGAAGGGGTTAAATTTAGGTCAAAATGGCTAGAAGTTGGGTTTGGGTTAGGCTAGCCATGACATTGAGCTCAATTGATTGGTCAATATTATGTAGATGATTGTCACAGGAGGTTTTGTAAAGGTTTGGAGTGATTTTGAATTGATTTGGAGGTTCAATTAGAGGGATTTTGGGCATTTGGCCAATTTGGGGGTATTGGGTTAAACTTGGGTCTAGGTTGGGCTAAGGTTGGGCTAAGTAGAAATTGATGGTTTAAAATGGTCTATAGTAATTTCATAAAGAGTTTTCAATAGAATTTGGGTCTCAAATTTTGGGTTAGGGCATTCAATTTGGTGGAATTTGGAAATATAGCAATTTTGTGGAAAATTTGGGGATTTGGAATGTGGGTTGAAATTAGGTAAAATTGAAGCTTGATAAAGGTCAATTTAGTGTTTAATTTGGTATTTAGGAGTTTTATAAAGAGTGTAGGATTCAAATTGGGGCAATTTGAGTAGGCTATGGGATTCAATTAGGTGAGATTAGGCCATAGGGCCAAAATTTGTGGTTTTGATCAAATTTGGGGATTTTGAATGAGGGTTGAAATTGAGTGAAAGTTTAGGTTTTCAAGAGTGTTTAGGGGGTCCAATTTGATGTGCAGGATTGTTATGAAGAGTTTAGGATTCAAATTGGGGCAAATCGAGTAGGTTATGGGGTTCAATTTGGTGGGGTTAAGTCATAGGGTCAAAATCGGGGGGGTTTAATTTGGATCAAAATTGAGCTCAAAGCATGGATCAATTTGGCTTGGATTTGGTTTGGATTGATCATATGAAAGATGAATTTGAGTTTAGAATTAAAATTAGGGAGGATTGGAGCAAAATTGACCCGTTATCATCCCCTAAGGTATCGAGGACGACTCTCCGTTATCATCCCCTAAGGTCAAGCATTCCTATGGGGACTCTCCTTGAGATCCTCCATACTGACCCCACCTATTAAGTGCTAGAGGTTAGGACCAATATGTGGAGCTTCAAGTTGAGCAAAGAGGAGTTTAGAATTTCTAATGGTGAGGGTTACTTTTAGTTTTCTAGGAATGGTCATCAGGAAAACCCTATGGCTAGACCCGCTACTAAAGAGAAAAAACTAAACCAAGATTTGGTGCTTGTGGAATCTACCAAGCTCACAGTATTGACACCCATAAATGGGCTCCTAGGTGCCAATAGATAGGTGGTTTCTCAGGAATAAGAGTAGTATCCGCTTTTATGGGATGCTTAAGCACCCATGGATGGCGTCTAGGCGCTTGTCTTAAACTTGCTTGGAATGTTTTGGCTCCACACACACCATAACACACTAATGGAAGATCCTACTCTCAAATTTAAGAGAGCTTTCTTGAACTTTGTGTCACATTTCACTATAACACTTTTCCCATTCTCAATAAGGAATAAGGCTAAAATGTAGCTTAATTCCCTAGCTTCTGGATTTATCACCGCCTAGAATGAACTGGCCCAGAGGTTCATAGTGAAATATTTTACACCATCCAAAACTTAAGAATAATATTACTTCTTTTAGCCAATTCGATGGGGAGTCTATATATGAAGCCTAGGAAAAGTTTAAAGTACTCCTTAGAAAGTGCCCCTACCATGCATTACCAAATCGGCTAATCATTCAAACATTCTATAATTGTTTTATAAGATCCATTAGGTCCACCATAGATGCCGCAATAGGAGGTTCTCTCATGTCCAAACCCTATGATAAGGTTTGTATATTGACCAAGGAGATGACAACTAATAGCTTCCAATGTTTATTAGCCAGAGTGAACCATATAAATGTAGTCAGTGTTCATGACACATAAGTTTTATCTATATTGATATCTCGTGGTGGTTATCTCTAGGAAGTTAGATCACTTAAGAGTTGAATACACCACTAGGATCACCAGTCATAGAGGAGAATGCTTATGGACAACTGATAAATCCACATAATAAGAGTAGCATGGAATGATAATAATTCAGAATCTCAACTGAAAGATCTCTTAAAATGTGTAACATGGTTGAGGGCCTACTTCTAAATCCATCAAATCAAATGTGAAACTTATGGAATCAATCAAGGTATAACAATCCATCTCATATCTCCCCCATACTAATCTTAAAGGCACTCTACAATCCAATTCTTAGCATCAACCACATGAAAGTCAAAGCTTAGGTAGAATTGTTTAACAAGAATCTTATAAAAAAAAAAATGCATCACTTCTTAGACATCTCATCAACCTGATTACCAAAATACCGTAGAACCAAAGATATTTTTACTCAACATTAAGGCTATCAATAAACATCATCATTAGTGAAATTGTCGTATTCGGCTCTTTAAATACCTTGTGTTCGATTAATTCATTAAGAAAATAAGTCGAACATGAATATTTTTTAGCTCAATTTATAAATGAGCCAAGCACGAATAGACCTTTAATTGATCTTGTTTGACTCAAATGAATTAAATAATTAAATGTATAATATTTATTAAATATGTCTAAATTGATTTTATATGTTGCAGTTTAAAAAAATAATAAAAATTTATTATTTTTAGACTAAGCACGCTAAATTCAAGCCACTAATCACAAATGAAAAAATGAATTCAAATTGAGCTAAATATTAACATGCAAATCAGTAGCCATTTTAAACAATAGCTGATTTTGAATAAAAAAAACTTTGAACAGATCGAAAAACTTTAGGCTCGCTCAAGCTCAAGGTTGTTTGCATCCCTATTCAATATAAATTTCAAAGATAAAATATTTCCTCCATTAACCATCCATTCATATGAACATCTTAAACTTTCCTTTACCCTAATATCTATGAATATCCTTAGAAAGAGAGACAAAGGATTTCCTACTCTAATTCCCTCTTCCAAGAGAAAGAGGAGCTCTCCTTTAATCAATCACTTTCATATCAAAGGGTAACTTTATTGAATCAATTTTAGTTCTTAATCACCTTCAAGCACAATCAATAGGAAGTGTTGGAGGGTCTTCTTGTGGATAGAATTCTAAGATTGCCATGCTGATCCCTTGTTTTGCTAACAATGTCTAAAATAACTAAATCAAGCCTGAGACAGCCCATCAACCAAAATTATACAATCACCATTATTCAACTCCCATCCATTTGTTCTTCAATTGGGCTGTAGCCTATGGCACACACCCCCCAACATCCAACCATGAGATTATTTCTTCTATACTTACTCCTCATGTCATTGTTCTAAGCTTAAACGGATATAATACATACATTTTATTTGCCATTTGAATCAACTGTTTAACCGATTTTGTGTCCATATTACAGCAATCAGATTAAACAAGCTATAAAGAAATTTCATATACATTTACTTGTATCTTGCACTTTGTTGCTTCCCTATTACTCTAACCAAAGATAAGCCAAAAAGAAAAAAGCAGCCATGCTAAAGTTTTTGGCTCCACCACCCCGCAGGATCAACTAAAATAAAGGCCCACATATTCCATAACCCCACCTCATGTGAATATTATCAATACCACCACCACTCACATGACTACCATCAACATCCCCTGATGCATTTAATTTCATTCAAGACACACTAAAGAGAAAAGATAATAATTAAATACAAGAGGAAAATGAAATAAAGGAATCAGAGAGAGAGAGAGTACACAAGAGCAGCCCTCAAAAAATGTGCAATGCTTCCATGAATGCTGAAAATTATATATTAGAATGATGCATAAGATTAAACAATAATTAAATACAAGAGGAAAAAGAAATAAAGGAATCAGAGAGAGGGAGTACACAAGAGCAGCCCTCACAAAAATGTGCAATGCTTTCATGACTGCTGAAAATTATATATTAGAATGATGCATAAGATTATTTCTTGTAGCATAATATTCTTTGGTTATAAAATTGGCATCAGCCTTGAGATTTGTGCAATCACAAGATTATCATGATGATGTCCTATAAAAGCATGATGGGCAACCTTTCAGTAGAAATTCTATGCCATAAATGGTGTCAGTAATAAGTGAAGATAATGACAATTAATGGTCAGCAACGATACAATTTTACATCTAAACAGGCTTTATCAATCTATAGGTCCCAAACTAACCTTCCAGCTTTTATTCTACACAAAGAAGAGTAAAAAATAAGGGACAACAATGAACTTCCATTTAATGAATGGAGAGGAACATGCTACTTAAATAATTTAAATGATACACTGATGAAGCTATCAGAAGAAAATGGTAGTTCAAATTTCAATATTCTCATTTACACTGTTTGTTATGTGTAATTAATATAGCAATATGATGGCACAATTATCTGAAAAAAGCATGTAGTTTGATTTTGTTCAAGAATCATTTTTGTTTGAGCAGATCGTTTGAACTCGGTCCTATTAGATTCTTCGTTTGTTTACAATCAATATGTTGCTCGTTCAAGCATCATTCAAGCATCATTTAAAACGAGAAATGAGACAATAAGAGAGGGCTGGGTAATGTAGAGTCCATCAGTTATAAGATGGAAAATGGATCGAGTTTAGACTCCACCTGGTGTATGCTTCAGAGTACAGAGCATCCATGTAATTGTAGTTCCCATTGGCAATATGCAGTGAGTAGGATAACGAGCTTTAATGTCCTCCATACCCAAGTTCATCTAGAACACCTAACCATGCCTCTTTTTGTGCTTCTGGAAAACTAAAGATGACAAATTTTCTCAGTTCCCTCTAAAACAGTAGTGTCAATAGGTGGACTAGCCAAAAGCTGCATGGCTGGATAGCAAGTTTCTGAACTCGATGAGAAATAAAATGTGAATTTAACAGCTTCACTGGCTACACCTGAAACTCTTTAACAGTAAGATGATTTAGAAACACACTAGCCCTGCTATTAGATGAATTGCTGGCCTTAGCTATAAATCATCCAAGAGGTAATAAGAACTGTCAATGATCCACAATGCACTGTATAAAAGTCATCTCTAAATTTGGAACACTGAACTGAAAGACCTTCAATTTCACAGCTAATTTGTCAAAACTTACAAGTTTATAACTGAGCTTATCGGTAATATCCCATTACAAATCGTTTGATTCCGGCAAAGTCTGTCACTATTCTCATATCATGGAAGAGATTGCTCCCTTGTGAGCTCAATAAATCTACAATGTACTCAGATTGCTTATTACCATTTGTCTGCCATAAGAAAATAAAGATTAAATTGTGAGAGAAAAAAGAGGATGGATCTCAAAAACACACACACACACACACCACAAATGATCCGTTGTAAGAACTTTAATGTAAATCAAATTATTTAGCAAACATTCTGGCATTCATTACTAGAAATCATATTTATACAAAATACATTTTTAAACATATAAAATTAGTTTCATTTATTTGTTGATTATGAATATAATACAGAAGAATTATAAAAATAATAACTATATTAATAATATCATGTAATATAACTAATTTATCACATTAAATTCCCGAACATAACTTAAATAATATTATTTGAATTACAATTTTTTGAAAGGTTTTGAAATTTTTTTCCTAAAGAAGTCCGCTCTAATAGCATCAATCTATATGTTCTCCATATTATATTGATATGAAAAACATAAGAAAACAGAATTGCATAATTTTTCATACTCCAATAAATGGAAGGGATCTGATACTTATAAAAGATATCCATACAACAAAAACAACAACAACAAAGCAGAAGGGATCTGATACTTATAAATATAAGATATCCATACAACAAAAACAACAACAACAAAGCCTTAAGCCCAACCCTATCACGCATATATTCATTTAGCATTTTGTCTCTAAGTGTAAAGCCACTCATCCACTTAATCATTCTCATCTCGACAACACTTAACTTAATATTATGCTTCTCTATGCTTCTCTGCTTCTCTTTTAAAGGCCAACATTCAGCGTCATAGAGCATTGCAAGTCTCACCACGGACTTATAAAATTTTCCTTTCAGTCTAAGCCGTTCTTTTCTATCACACAAAAGGCCCAAAGCATTCCTCCACTTCAACCAACCAACTTGAATTCTGCTATTAACATCCTCATCTATATCACCATCGCTTTGAACAACACACCCGAGATATCTAAATCGTTCACACCTTTTAATAATTTGATCACCCAAACTTACACTTCTGTAATTAGAGCTACTACTACTAAAATTACATTCCATGTATTCAGTTTTAGTACTACTCAAAAGAAGCCCTTTAGACTCCAATGTAGACCTCCATAATTCAAGTTTTTCCTGGGTTTTTTCTCTCGTCTTATCCACGAGAAGGATATCATCAGTAAAAATAGACCAAGGTACATCCTCCTGTAAATATCCAGTAAGACCATCAATAACTGAAGCAAAAGGATATGGGGCTTAAAGCCAATCCCTAATGTAATCCAACAGAAATAGAAAAATATTTGCTCAATCCTCCTTCAATTCGAACACAAGTAACAGCTCTAGTATACATATCTTTAATGACTTGAATATAAGGCATATCAACAATTTTCTTCTCAAGAACTCTCCAAAGGATATCTCTTGGAACCTTATCGTAAACTTTTTCTAAATCAATAAAAATCAAATGTAGATTCTCCTTATTATGTCTGAACTTCTCCATCAAACCTCTCAATAAATTTATAGCTTCCATGGTAGACCTGGCCGGCATAAATCCAAATTGATTATGAGATATCTTTATAATACGTCTTAACCTATGCTCAATTAACCTCTCCCATAATTTTAAAGTATGACACTTCAACTTAATTCCTCTATAATTTGCGCACTCTTGTGCATCCCCTTTATTCTTAAGAATGGAGACCAAAATACTCTTCCTCCACTCAGTAAATAGTGGTTTGGGAATAAAGGTCAATCTAGATTCACGACAAGGGACAACATGACTCGAATAATGTTTAACTTGGCCACTGAAGAAAATGTCTCCTCATAGTAAACTTCGTAGGTTTAATGTTTAACATGTCTTGTTGCGTTCAAAGAATCCATCATAGTTGAACTTGGTGCTGAAAATCAATCGGCACCCCACAGCTTTCTTACCCTGAAGAAGATTAATGGCATCTAGCATATGGTTCTGCCAAAGAAGATGCATCTCCTGCATCACTGTCATTTTTCAGCCTGGATCAACAAGAGCAACCTTGTAGTAGTCAGGATCTGATTGTCCCTCAGGGCAGTAGAGGGCAATAAACTGTAGAAAGAGACATATTTTGCTATTGAATATAGGGAACATGTCTGATTACATTTAGTCGGAGAACTCACCTCATTCGGAGGAGGGATTATGCTGAGAATGTCGCCAAGAGTGGAGTCAAGGTCCTATAAGGTGGTAGCGGGTTCAATAGTAGGAGGATTGGAATGAGTGCGCTGAGTGAAGATACGAATAGTGGGAGGAGAAGATGGTGCACTTATCGAATCAGGTGACTCCTCAGTGACAAGAACAATGGGAGAAACATCCAAAGATGGTACACTTACCAAATCAGGGGGCTCACCCAATGGTGCACTCACCGGTACAGGGAACTCCTCAGTGACAGGAACAATGAGAGAAACAACCAGAGTAGGATAAAGGACAGTGTCCAAGAACCAAAGCTCCCCCTCACTTGGAGCTGAGCTAAGAAAATAGATAACACTTTCAAAGAAGGAAACATCAGCACTCACATAGATTTTGTTAATGATAGGATAAAGATACTGATACCCCTTTTAAGTGGCAGAATGCCCAAGAAAGATATAATTTATGGATCCGAGATCAAGTTTACTTCGATTGAGAACAGTGTTCCGAAGAAAAGCAATAAACCCAAAAATCTTGGGGTTTAACGTGTAGAAGACCAGATTGGTATGGAAGCATGACATCATGAGGGGGGTTCGAAACTGGTGAGTTTTAGAGGGCATTCTATTTATGATATAGGTGACAGTAAGAATGGCATTGTTCCAAATTGTTTAAGGACATTTGATTGAAACATAATTGAGCGATCAATGTCAAGAATGTGACAGTTTTTTTCTCTCGACTACCCTATTTTGCTAAGGAGTGTCTGTACTCGAGCTATGGTGGAGAATGCCTTTATTTACCAAGAGATCACCCAAAATAGAGTTGAAAAACTCACGGCAATGGTCAGTCCGACCTGAAATAGATTTTTGAATTAAGTTAAAATGAAGGTGTAGAAGTTTTAGAAAGTGACAACAACCTCCGATTTATCTTTTAAAATATAAACCCATATCATTTAAGTGTGGTTATAAATCAAAGTCAGGAACCACCGTTTATTAGGATAGCTGGGAGTGTGAGAGGGTTCCCATAGATCACTGTGAATGAGAGAGAAATGAGCGGAAGGTGTGTAAGTGTGGGGTGGGTAGTGAACTCGATGATGCCTGACTAACTGACATGTGAAATTAAAAAGATTTTTGTTAGAAAACATCAAAGAATATATTTTTTTAAAATATTTGAAACTAGGATAACCCAAAGGACAATACAACAACATGATGAGACATTCAATGACTCGAGATAAATTGCAGCTCTTGAGAGGTGTGTCCTCACTCTCCAAGACCTTCTCTTGGAAGTAGTAGAGTCCAGTTATCCTCTTAGCAGTTCCAATCATCCTCCCCTAACGACGATACTAAAAAACACAATCATCATATAAGAAATTAGTCACGTAATCAAAATCATTTGTCAACTTGCCGACAGATAACGAGTTAAATTGCAACAATGAAACATGTCAAATAGACTCCAGAGCTAGACCGGTATTTAGTACAATTGACCCTTTACCAGCAATGGAACTACAGGAGCTATGAACAATTCTGACAGCTTCTTTCCCAGAGAATGGATAGTAAGCTAAGAAAGCTTTCGAGCGTCCAGTCATGTGGTCTATGACACTTAAATCAATAATTCACTGACTAGAGGAGGAAAAAACCGTGAGAGTCATAGGAAGAGTACCTTGTCAGACGTCGGAGGTAAACGAAACCGTAGAGAATTGATTGACTCCAATTAGCTTAATCAAATTGCTCCATCTGGTTTCTGAAGGATTCGGAGGATTCCAAAAAGTTTTGAGTAGGAGTTGGTTGAACTACAGTAGATTTGGACATTACCGAGAGGCCCTAGGTAGTAGAGGATTTGACCAAAGGTTTGTATTCTGGTTTACCGTGAAGTTTTCAATATTTGTCCCGAGTGTGGTTGGGTTTGTGACAATAAACACAAGTGGAGTGACCGGCCCGAGGTGGCAAAGAAGAAGTTTGAGCATGATTCCAAGTATTGATGAATTTATAGGCCACCAACTGACGGATAACTACAGGAAAGCTGCAAAAAGGTTGCTATAATGTTGTAGAAAAGATGCAAGTAAGCTGCAGGAAAGATGCAGGAAAGCTGCAGGAAGGCTGCAGAAAATCTGGGAGTCGGATTGCAGAAAATCCGGGAGTCGGATTGCAGAAAATCTAGGAGTCGGGCACCAAACCTAGCGGGAAGGATCAACAGGGAAGGCAGGTGAGAAAGCTTGCAAAGAGGGCCAACGACAGTGCTCATGAAAGCAGCAGTGCTCATAGAAGGCTGTAATAATGCTGCAAGAAAGAGCAGTGCTTTCCTTGGGAAGAGTTGGGCAACGGTTGAAAAACTGCAGGAAATTATCAGCTTGCAAAAACAGCCTGAAATAAAAGCGGACGAAATCAACAGCGAGAACCCATGACAGCGAAAACTTGCGGCTACCAACTGCAGGAAATCAACAGCATGAACCCTATGGAGTGGCGGCTACACTAAGGGTCTGTTTGGGGCAGCTGCAGCTTATCCAGCTTCTGCTGATAAGCAGCTTATCCTGATAAT